AAATACCTCTGCTCTGCACACGCCTCTGCGGAGCTCAGGGAAATGGCAGCGGAGCGATGAGTGGTTGGCATGGCAACAAGGAAAAGAAAATCTGCAGCCTCTTGTATTGTCAGGCCAGCTTGTTGATTTTCCTTGGGGGTGATGCAGGTAGCTCTAGTTTATCTGCAAGAGATGGCCCTGCACTATCTTCTCTGCGTACATGAATATAATGTTAAATACTATATGCCATCTTTTATAAATTTTTAAAAAATATATTTTTATTGATTTCAGAGAGGAAGAGAAAATCATTGATTGGCTGCCTCCTGCATGCTCCCCAGTAGGGATTGAGCCCACAGCCTGGGCATGTGCCCTTGACTGGAATTGAACCTGGGACCCTTCAGCCATGCCCTTGACTGGAATCATACCTGGGACCCTTCTGTCTGCAGGCCAATGCTCTATCCACTGAGCAAAACCACCTAGGGCCCATCTTTTGAATGGGATGACAGCTCTTACTAGTAAATCTCAAACTCAGGAATGTTGGCAAAGGAAAGTGGAAGAAGAAAAGGCAGGTTCTCATACTCAAAGGTTGAAAAGGGAAATAGAAGGTTAGAGTGATGACAAACTTTTCCTTCATCGTGTATTTTCAAGCTTAAATTTGTAATTTCAGCAGCAATAAACGGACATATCGGAGTATGTTCGTTGCTTGGCTGCTTGAGTTCCGAGGATGGTAAAGTCCAGGCTTTGGAAGGCACAGCTCAAGGTAAATTCTGAAATGCAACATTGTGTGACCTGCAAGAGCTCTTCCAGATCTCGCTGCTTTGGCAGGGAACAGACCTGGGTGGACTCCTCAGAAATTCTGGGAAACAACGCATGCCTGGGGAGTGGGGTGAGGAGTTAACTCAAGAAACACTCCCCTTTAATCTTTCATTAACTCAGAGCTGGCACTGGCTGTGGACTGTGGATGGTCATGAAGGCTCTTTGTACTCTGACTAGTGTTTCTTACTAGTGTTCAAAGCATTAGACCTTAGGATAGTCAAAATCATGGAAGGATGAATTTAATGAAATACGTCAATGTCTTGGCATCTATCAACTTCTCATATTTGCCTCCTATGTTTCTCCATTCATGCTGAGAACTGAGAATAAAATTACAATTTTTCTGTCATGCTTAGAGGCACATGCGTGTGGCAGTTTTGCAATAGGGATTGTCTTCTTTGGCTATAATGGATCACCAGGCGGCTGGCTGTGCTGGTCTCAATCTGGTGCTATGGGTTGTTGAATGAGTGCTGGTCTATGCAGCAGGAGACCAGCATGCTGGCTGTAGTCATGAGATCTTGATTGGGGACTAAACCTGTAAAGAGGAGGACTGAAAGTTCACCCTATTGGTTCCTTCTAGTTATCTTCTTGTTATTTTGATATGGATTCTAATATGAGTTTGGGCCCCACCTCACATAAAAATCTTAAAGACGAAGCTCATTTTCACTCAGAATTGGAACTATGTGGGGACCAAAATGCATTCCTCTTACTTCAAATTTAAGGTGAAAAGTAGCAGAAGGGTTTATTTTAAGCTTTTACTCTTCTGATTTCACACTTTGGAAAACAAATGTAAAAATGATGGCTTTATTCTCATTATAACAATAACGTTCCCAAGTGGCTAGCTTCTCAATGGCTTCTCGTTTATTTTTGAAAGCTACTGTGGGATGGCTTCTAAAAAGAACACCTGAATGAATAAATGTAAGAAAAATCCTTAAAGTATCAAAACTTATGCTATATCAAATGAGCAAATAATCCAATCTACCTTTCTATGGATTAGCTTTACATTATAAGGAGACAAAATCTAGAAGAATAAACTATAAAGAAATATAATTTAAAACATTATTGCCTTCTAGCATTCCCTGCCATCCCACGTCTCAGTGCATAAGATTAATGATAAACTGACTATGGGCTTGCATCTTTAAAAATTATTAGGGCCCAGGCGTGAAGGTGAACACTGAAAAAGGGTGAGAAAGAATGAGGCAAGACCTTTGGTTGAAGTAAGCCCACACTGATAAAGGAAGGAAGAAGGGGGGATGTGATGATTGCAATTCATTTAACATTTTATCTGGTTTATAGAGATAAATACAAATAAGCAACCTTGGGGGAAAGATTTATTTCTAAAGTCGAGAGGACTATAGCAAAGAAGGAAAGTAGAAGAAAGATCTTTAGAGTAAATCAGTAATGTGGTGGCCACCTAAGGACCTAATGATACTGGGAAATGCTTCAAGTTACCAATGCCCTGAGAAATACCCTTTATAGGGGAGAAACGCAATATACTGATAGATTATAAGTGTATGCAAAGCATTATGCTAAGCAAAATAAGCCAGTCAGAGAAGAATAAGTATCACATGATCTCACTCATTTGTGGAATATAATGAACAATGTAAACCGATGAACAAAAATAGATCCAGAGACACAGAAACATTGAACAGACCATAAAACCTCAGAGGGAAGGCAGGGTAGAGGAAGGGGTTAAGAGATCAGCCAATGGACACAGACACTAGGGGGGTCAGGGCATGTGCTGAGGGGTGGGAGTGGCCAGGATACGGTCAATGGGGGGGAAAGGGAGACATGTAATACTTTCAACAATAAAGAATTTAAATTAAAAAAAAATAATAAAAAGAGTGGGCTAGTATATAGCTCCCTGGTCCTCTTGAAAACAACCCAAAATATCGTGCCAGCCAGCTTATATTCAGCACTAGTCCCCATCATCAAAGGACAGCATTTAAAAAAAATATATTTGAGATTTAAGAACACTTTTTTTTAACTGGGAATTATTTTTGTTTGTAGTTTGTGAAAAATTTACCTATAAACTATCAATAATAAAATTTATTATTTTATTAAGCTGAAGTTTACAGAGATATTTAATTGCACGTGAATTTATCATTGGAACATTCTCTATAGGCATGAGGAGACAATATTTTACATTTTTCTTTTCCCACACATAGATAACTTATAATTCAATACTTGGCCTGTTATTTCTGAAGGGAGGTTAGTTTAAAATCACACCATAATTTGAATTGAACACATCACCCTGGTAATCCACAGCTGGCTCTTTGTAACTCGGTCACTATGAACATACATATAAAGCTTTCATAATCAGTCTCCCAAATGTAATATAAAATTACTGTGATATATGGCAAGCTGAAATCAAAATTAATTTTGGATGCTCTTGAATCCATAATTTAAAAGAAAATCTACTAGTCTCTTTTTAATTTATATCATTTTTTCAAGCTGACGAGGACACACTGACCTAGAAATAGATTTGTCAGGTATTCTTAAATAGTTCATTAGGACCATTGAAAAACTGAAATAGTGAGTGATGTTGATTCTCCACTGCTTGACCAAACACCCTATAGAGATTTTTGTCTTGTATTATAAACCTCACAATAATCCATGAGACTCAACTGATGAGAGCCCAAGATACAAAGGAAGACTTTTCAATAGTTTTCACCATCAATTTGAAAAGGACTTCCTTTTTTCTTTTCTATTCATTGATTCCTTCATTCATTTATTCACTCACTCAACACACTTATTGAGTACTTGAAGTATAATATCAGGTGCTACAGAATACGATGGTAAGAATAATCTTGGTCTATAACATTATTTCTTTCCCCACAATCATTTTACTCTAATGTGCCCTCCTCTCTTCATGCCTTGATCCTTCAAAATTTTCCTATTTAATGTTTCTGATCCAAATCCCACCCTCTACAACTTGTATTATACTGGTTTGTAGAAAAGCATTCCTTGTTTATGAGTACTCTGTTGTCTATATTGACACCACTACCACCACCAATAATAATAATAATAATGATAATTAATAGATACTATTTTATGAGCCATTCACTTTGTACACATTACTACTTCATTTAATCCTCATTGTAATGATGAAAGGCAAAAATAATATTTTTATTTCATTCTGAACCAGTTTCTTTCTAATGGGGTATATGTGCCTTTTAGGCACTGCAAAGCTTCTTCAAATCCTTGGATTGGATTGGACATAGTTACCCTCTTTTCCTGTTCCACAAGGATGTCTGCAGCGTACTTGGTTTTTATCATGCAAAGATACAGCACCTTGAAAAGAAATTTAGTGTGCACTAATGCTGAAACTGTGTACTGTCTTGAGCTAATAGACCATGTAGTATTGGACAGATGGAGAATTGCTGCATTTCCTTTGAGTATTTCAAATACTCTCCCTCAGCCCTGGGAGTGTGCCATGGCACCTCAAGACATTTCTTGCACAATTTGGAACTTTGGCCCTAAGTAGAAACAATCCCAGTTCCACTTTGCCTTTCTGTACTGCTCATTTGGTACTGAACACACTGCATTTTGTATCTGAATTAACTGCATGCACAGGTCTCATGTCCACTACTAGGTCACCAGCTCTGTGAAGCTCAGAGACCATTCCTTGCACACACCTGGCACAGAAGCTAACACATTTTGTACTACATAGAAAATGCTCAACAGTAATTTGTGAAATGTGTGGATTAAAAAAAGTTACACTATGTACTTATGTAATTTCTCCCCAGTCATTTGAAATGCCTTTCATATTTTCCCATTAAAATGCAAACATATTTTTTTGAACAGTGTACAGTCGATGTGTTGCTGACTAGTGGGTGGAATGTAGAAAACCAATCTTTGAATAAGTAAGGGATGATTTTGAAGGGGGCATAACCTTTCTTACTGCTTGTAGTTTGCTTACACTTCTTTAGAGTAGCATGTCTGCAAGTTACTGTGTTCAAATGCATTAAATTCTGAATCACAGAAAAAATAAAAATAATTTTGAATAATACTATAGTTCTGGGTATTGTTTCTCTATGCCATTCATACTATATAGTAATTATGCCATTGTGACAACATTGTCAATGATAGAGTAAAGTACAGAAATTACACTTTGAAAGAAATTACTTGATAATAAATTATAGTATGTTTTCCTAATATCTGAATATTAGGTATTAAAAAGCTATCTGAGGAAGTATGAAATGGTTCCTGTGTGTGTGTGTGTGTGTGTGTGTGTGTGTGTGTGTGTTGATTTTCTTTCTTTTCTGTTTCTCCTTTTTCTTTTTAAAAGCTGAGAGCTGGACTCTAACATTCTTTTCTGCCCTAAAAAGTAAATATTCTTCTAATTAGTCAATCAGATTTAGGTCCCATATCATTCAAGAAAATCAATAGCAAACTATTTGTGTTTTCTTTCAATGAATTAAACTACTGACAGGTACTGAGCCACTTGACTATTAAAATTAAAGTGGTAAAACTAAATAAGGAGATGAGATAGAGAATATAACCAATTTGGGGTACCACAGGCTAGTTCCCATGGTTTTTCTCTTTTTTGTGTCTTTCCCCTGAATGACTAAAGTTTCCATCCTAGCATTCCTGAAAGAGGATCAGTGCTGTAAATTAATTCACTTTCAGACTAAACAGACATCAAAGCACAAACCAGCTCCGGTGACTGGAGAGCCCTTAGTTACCTGCTGTTTCTCTGTCTGCTGAGGTCAGCTCTCCGTTGATCCCATTCTCTTTGGTATTTGAGTAAGTGCTCTGTGACCCATGTTCTCCAAAGGTGCCCTCTTCGTCCTCCCTGAATGGGAATCCATTGGCACTTCTGACAAATCCTTCCCCTGCCCCGCCTTGATCCTTAATCTCAGGTGAATGTGGGTGTGCAGAAGCCTCCGTTAGCTGAGCTGAGGTCCAGTGAGGTGCCTTTGCGTCATCTTTCCGATCATCTGCCATTCTTCAACACCTGTCACCTCTCCTGTGATTGGAAGTGAACAAATAGTAGCCATGACTTTGGGGGAATCTGGTCTAATATTAATAGTACCAAGATAGAGCAAATTTGTAGTGGTTAGCTAACACAAAAATGCCCTTTCAATAATCTACTTTTAATATTAAGAGGTAGCCATTAGTAACACTTTGGTTCTGTTTTTTACAAACCTTTTTTTTGCATATCTATCCTTTTAATATAAGACCTCCATCAATCTATATACACTTTTTTAAAAAAAATAGTGTTTGGCATTTAAGGACATATCTTAGCTAGCTTTCATTGACATATGATGTTAACTGTCCAGTAGAGCCAAGGAATTCTGCACTATGAGAACATTGTCTAATGTTTTTTCATGTTTAGTCTTCAATGATGTGTTTTGGGAGGAAGACCGTCAGTGTAAAGTGCTTACATGAGCTTGAGAAATGTTGAGTTGCACAGGCATGTGTAACACTAGCTGAGAGCTTTTCATGTGCTCGGACACATGGAATCTCAGGGAAGGGCAGTGATGTGGAGAGAATCCCAACCAATAGGCCATAGAACCCTTTGTCTGATGCCATGTTTATCAACACCTCTCAAAGGATTTGGGAAATACTTAAGTTTTCACTTTAGCCCATAGGAGTTCTAGCCACAGATTCTCAAAGTAAAGAAAACAATATGGGCACCCACCGTCCCCAGCTAAAATTGGCAGTTTTCCCCACAGGGCTCTCTGGAAAAGATTTCTCAGTGACTGAAAAGCCTCATAGTGAACCTAAAAAAAAACAATGCCTAATGGAGGAGAGTGCTACTTGGCCATCATCCACTTGAAATGCTGATAGTTTGTTTTAAAGAGACCAGACATTCAAAAAGTGATCTCTTTAGTGTGTAATGCCTCAGACTTTTGGATTCTTTCTTTTTAATCAATCAGTAGAAATTAATTTTGTAAAAAGAAAGGGGTGGCTGGCCACATTGGTTTCAATTAATATCAGAGACACAAATGAAGTGAATTTATAATCTAAAATGCATCATCTAACTTCCTGATAAGACTATTCAGATAACACTCCTTAAAATGTATGCAGATTAATCAGCTATCACTTTCTAATTTGTTGGGCTTTTGAAATGTACATAGTATAACCATGTATTAAGTGACAACATCTTAGAAAATGTCAAGCTGGTATTGCTCTGACAAAGCTACTTTGACAGAAAATATAATTTAAGACTTCCTTCCGCTCTACTGAAAAGCTTCTGGAAGCAAAGGAAATACTATTGGCTACATTCACTTATAATCACAGTATGACATTATTAAAATACCACCCACTTGTGGTAAATTTCACTTGAATTCCTAATCAGTGTTTTGGAGTCACGGTTTAGCTCTACTCTACAAAATGGCATTATGACAATAGTCAAAAGTGATCACAGCTTCTTTTAATCATTTCTTCCTGATGTATATAATTATTTTTACCTGAATCTCTCTGAAAACTGTGAATGTGAGATAAATAAGAAAGCTGATAAAGGCAAATCCCCTCCAAATCTATGAGAGGAAACTATGAAGTACAAGGAATGTTAGCATTCCATTCCTCCCATGTAATGAGAAAGACTCTCCTCTCTCCTTATTGCAAAAGATCACAAATCCTAACTGTGGAAGAGTTGGAGATCTGAATGAAAACAGTTGTTCCACAGATTAAATTCCAAGTTGAAATGGTCTATAGATTCATTACTTATTTATTTAACATCTGTAGAATGCTTCAGTTTTGTTTTGGGGTAGATTTAATGTATACATGTTTAATGTTGTGAAGTAAAATTAATACTCTTCCAATAATGATTAAAAGGTCTTAGATAATTCCAGTTAAGAAATACCAAAAGAGAGAAGAAAGCAAACAAGCAAAAGAGTGAAAGAAACAACAAAAAATAGAAAAAGAAAGAACAGAAAAAAAGAAAATTCCAACTCAACAGAAAACATGACTCTCATGGCAAAATTCAACTCATGATTGGGACAGGTATATTCCAAATTTCAGTTACTTACTAAAATTTTTAAAATCTGATATGATCATTAATGTGGGTCTTAAAGACTCATTTTGTAGCTTATGAGTAGGTCTGTCAGTCAGTAATGCTATTTATCAGATTTGTAGAATACCTATTACATTAATAATTGGATTTCTATTATATTCAGATTCTCTTGTATTTAAATGCAACTGCCTTAATCATTTTCCAAACCTAAGACTATAATGCTCTATGTTTTAAAATTCTAAGATTTTACTTGAGTACCTACCTGCCCAGATACTTACACAAATTCATACATTTTTGTATATAAGAACAAATTTGGACTTGCCCAGAGGCAACCCCAAATCCTAACTCCAAATCTGCAAGACCACTCTTGAAAACATTGTCTTTTGTGTATAATTGTCCCTTGCATAGGATATATACAATAAATTAATTTGTATTGTAATTTAGAAATAAGGTAATACACATTTTGTTGATTTCTAATATTTCTTAGACAATCTGGTAATACAGCTATTCCCATATTTTCCCTTGTCAGAAACTTTAATACTTAAATATAGTATTTACCTCATTCTAAGTCTTTGGTGCTGAATTCTGTTATTTATTACAAATAATAACTGTACCTTTTGCCTTCCAACATTTTATTTTGGGGCATCATTTTTTAAGAAAATCACATAATATTATTTAGCACATAATAGCTTTTATGTTATCCTTCATGTATACATAAAGTGAAAAAAAACACACAAAATAGATATTAACATTTTCCAGATAAATCATTTTATAAAACCTTACATAATATTCTAGAACTTTCACATAGGTTAAAGGTTAACAACTCTAATGAAAATATGATTTCTTAAAAAACTAACATTACTTAGTTTTTTAAAAGGTATTTCTCCTTTATCCATCTTCCCTAGAATACTCTATTAATTTATCCTGCAAGCAAATGTTGCTAATAAACGAATGATAACTTTAAAATGACGACTTATTTTTTGGGGGGTGGCCAAATAACACACTTTTGTTGGTTCTCCCTAAGAGTTATAAAATCATATGTGCACATTAAAATTTAATGTGTTTAAAGACTAGCTTGAAAAGAGAGGCATTTTCATCTGGAACTCCATCTATCGACCGCCTGCATATTGTGCATAAAAAAAAAAAGTCTGACATGCTCTGACAGTTCCTGTAGTTTCTGTTATTAGCGCAGATAAATTTATTTAAGTGTATCAAACTTCAGTTCCTGAGCACATGTGCCCTGAGGCTTGCAGAGACAAAAAAAATAAGGTACAGCTGCCACATTTCCTTTACGATTCAAAGGGAAGAAATAAGCAAGCAGAAATACTGGGAAGAAAATGTCCCTGACGGCTCTGCTGTTTTTGGAGCTACTGACGGATTTCTTTTCTCAGGGCATATCCAGAGCTAAGGATGTAAATCGCAGATACATTTTATTCAAAATAAACCATTTTCTAATTTTCTATGTACTTAATGAGAGGTTTTCACATTTTTCCTTCCAAGTATGAAAAGGGTCATGCAAAGCAAGATGCTCATAACCGAAGCATGATAGTAATTCACAAACTGAACAAAGCACCATTTAGCTATCCGTTGTGTTTCGAATATTTGTTGAAGATTGAGTGAATAATTCACCAACCTTCTAATTCCAGATATACACAGGGGAAAAGGTTCTGTTAGCTATAAATGTTTAGCCAACACTAGCTCCATCAGTGAGAGGAGGATGGTTTTGAAACCTAATTTCCAGGCCTGGTAGGAGAGCTGGTACTGAAGTTCTAACTCCATTGGTAACCCATGAAGAATAATGCCAAGGAGAACAAATGACTAGACCTGAAAACTAAACTTGGACACATAATAGAGAGCATGTGACAAGCAGGTATCAAAATACCTTTAAGATAAACTATTTCATCCATCTCAGAAAAGGTTTTAAACTCATAAAATTGAACCACTCTTTGGTGATGATCCATTTCCGATAGATCCTCAAGTGTTTCCAGACAATTACCTCCAGCATCAATCTAACAAATTAGAATTTTGGGGTATGGGCTTTGGAAATTGGTCTTCTAACAAATTCACCAGGTGATTCTGAGACACTAAAGTTGGCAAGCCTGTAGCATAGGACTTCAGAAAAGAACATGAAACATGCCTACAGAATAATTGGTGTAAAGGGGTGAGGCAATTACTGGATACGCCATCTCATCATTCTCACAAATAGAAGTTAAACCTTTTACTTCCTGAGTCCAGGACATTTACGAAGAGGAGTGGATTCCAATCAGGGGACTGGCTGCTTTTAGTCAGCTTCCTGGGAATATGCCAGTTGTTTCTTTTCTCTAATCCTACTTGAGGGAGGCAGACACATCTCAGAAGTACGTTTAAAATTACACATTGTCTGTGGTATACACCTACTTCATATTGCGAAAACAATGACTAATTCTTGCTCTGTCTGTAAACAACTTAAAATTCTTTAGAATATTTATTTTAAATTCTCCTGGGTATTTATTAATGATTTATGACAAAAGTGCACTTGCTTAAAATGTCAAATCAAGTTATAATTTTCTTTACTGTTAGATCATTTGGGAGATGGATGTGGGTAATAGGTAAGATGTGAATGTGTGACAGATAATTCCGAGCCGTCAAGCTCTCAAAGAAGTACATCAATGATTTCAGATCCACCTGAGACATGTGCTCAAAGTGTAGAATAGAACCCTTTCTCTCAGGATTCACAACTAACTGCAAACCTCACTGTTTTTCTTTGGATTATAGTATTAGAAAGATCACAAAGCATAGAAATAGTCCATGGTTATAGTTATTACTGGGAAACTTTAAATACGCTTAAAAATTGGCAAAAGGAGAAACAATAAAGCTTGGAAAAACTAAAAGAAAAATACATGTGTGCCAGATAGATATGTCTCCATTTTCATAATGGCTTGGCACCAACAGTTCTAGAATGTTCTCTATGATATGTTTTGCTCTGTCATCATGCAATGTGACAGTTCAATAAAAACTCATCATAATTC